TGCTGTTTTGCAACAAACTTTGCTGTTTTTCAACAAACTTTGCTGTTTTGCAACAAACTTTGCTGTTTTGCAACAAACTTTGCTGTTTTCCAACAGCTTTTATTGTTCTCGTACAACATTGTTGTTTGTTTTCAACACCGTCATCAGTAAGAATGTTGTTTTTCAACAACTCTTTTTTACAGTGTGATTGGCCGAGAGCTTCCCGCCTCTATCTCACGCCGGTAGTGGGGGTAAGCGCTCGGCCAGTCAGGAACCTTTATGTTCTACCCGCTATTCTTCTTCCTCCGTCAGTCGAAATACACTATTGAAACCGCGTGAAAACTAAAAAAAGAAATCTAAAAAGTAGGCGTACATCGCTTCTTTGTCATGTAGCTGTGTCACTTCTTCTTGCTTCTAAAAGAACATTTAAAAGTACTTGAGTTTCCCGCTACAAAGTTGACCAACATCAAACTATTTGCAGTTGTTTATTTATTTGTCAAAAAAGCGACGTTTTAACATTTATCGCGTAGAATAATTGACTAAGAGTTGTTTTTACTGTGATATACATTGTTTTTCTTTCCCGTAAGTTTGGTTGTACTTTTTATTTTCTGCAACGGGGAACATTCCTCAACCTTGGCTGTATGGAGAACGACTTCCTAACCAAAAGCTCAAATGAATACAAACAAAACCACAAGAAGTATTTTTTTATGTGTTGCGAGGACAAGTGCACGGTGCACGGTCATAGGAACGTGATGTAGAGCTTCTCTTTGTGAAATCTCATTATAATTTTGCTCACTGTAAAAGTTACTTCCGCTTATTTTGTGTCTAGAAATGATTCGCGTGAAATTGATGAATGGTGAGTTGCTACTACTGCCAGCAAAGAAATCTTAGCAGAAGAGAGAGGTGTAAAAAAAAATCAGAGCATCGAACTGCTCTAGATACCTTAGCACTCAATCCCAACAGGATGGACTTTACGACCAACGACCCTGGACACATTGAACCGTAGGCAGAACTGAGATATCTGCCCTAAGCTATCACCCCACATCAGTTGTAGGTTAACTAAAGATGTTTTTTAGCAACCTTCAAAGATGATTAGTTTAGTCTTATTTTCAAAAGAGTTCTGGCTTGCACCTGCTACTCGAGCTGGACAGGTGCATGAGCGTCCACCCCAAGCAATTAACCTGTACCGGATCTGGGCTTTCACAAACCTACTTCTTTTAAGGTTCTTTATTTTGATATTCACTTTATGGGAAGTAATACTTACACTACATTACCTTTACCCCTATACCTTGCTTCTATTCTCTGGCTAGGTTAAATACATACTCATATACATTAAACATGACTGAACAAAATTGTGTTTAATATTTCAAAAATTATGTTTCCTTCAAGATTATGTTTAACTTCAACTATATTGCAGTTATATCATTTTCTTATGTATTCGTACTTACTTTTGTTTCAGAATTCAGTTCCCCATGACATGGCAATGAAGGTAGATGTTGGCTTGGATATGACTGCAGACAGCATTGGACCTGTAGCAGAAAAAGCCCGATCAACCTGCGGCATGGAGACCTGTGTGGTTTGTGGAGACAGAGCCTCTGGCCGTCACTATGGCGCCATGAGTTGTGAGGGTTGTAAGGGATTTTTCAAACGATCCATCCGCAAGCATCTTGGATACCAGTGCCGCGGAAGTAAAAACTGCGAAATCACTAAACACCATCGCAACCGTTGCCAGTACTGTAGACTGCAGAAATGTTTGAACAAAGGTATGCGCTCTGATTCCGTTCAACATGAACGCAAACCTGCTAGTGACCGCAGGGAGAAAGAACGTGAGCAGCGAGAAAGAGAGAGGGAAAGAGATCATTTGTTGGATATGAGTATGGCAGCAGCACTTGCTTTTCCCTCGGACAATAAACTGTTCATGCGTAAAGACTTGGCAGACGCTGCTGCTGAAGCAGCTCTGAATGTGGGAATGGCATTTTCAGGAGCCGGAGCTGCACCTCCTCCTTATCATATGGGAGAGCTTGATCTCTCTGCTTCCCCTTTCAGCAAAATTTCTGACAGCTATCACTTGAATCAAACAGATTCTGGGGATTGTGGTGATGATGACTCTCATGATGGGGATGAAAACAAAAGTCTGATGTCTGCAGCCTTGGACCGTCTCGCTGAGACAGTTGAGGCCGGAGTTGAAGACAGTGAACTTTCTGATGAGGATGAGTCTCAACTAGTTGTTGAGGGCCCTCTACTAGTTGAGCATCATCTTTCGTTCCTTACATCTGCTCCCACTCTTCCTTCTGGCCCACCACCAAATGCACATGTTGTCTGTGAAAGTGCTGCCAGACTGCTATTTCAGTCTGTGCATTGGGTTCGCTCATTGCCAGCTTTCCAGCTGCTGCGCTCTGGCACTCAACTGGGGTTGATGCGATCATGTTGGGCTGAATTATTTGCTTTGGGTCTTGCACAGTGTGCCCGTACGCTCCGTCTCCCATCGTTGCTCTCAGCTATTGTTCAACAGCTTCAAACTTCTATGGATAAGGTGGAAGAAGAGTGTATGGCAGCATCTATGGAACATATTTTAAGACTCCAGGACTTGGCTGGAGCTTTTGGCCGCTTGGATCCAGATGAACGCGAATATGCCTGGCTGCGTGTTCTTATTGTCTTTGGCGCAGATCCACCTGGATTGACACTCTCGGCAAAGAGAAGGCTTGAGGCAGTTCAAGACAGAGCTTGTCAAGAGCTTAGATCACATAGTTCTAACGATCGTGTTTGCAAATTACTTTTGCGCCTCCCAGCTTTGCGTGCTCTTCAGCCACCTGTCATGGAGGATCTGTTTTTCACCAGCCTGATAGGAAGAGTTCAAATGGAACGTGTCTTGCCGTATATCCTTCGCATGCAGCCAGATAGCGATATGGGTGATATTGGCTGCAAGCAGGAGCGTAGAGATGCCAGTGATGGAGAAGACTGAGGCTAAGATCTTACAGTTTCAGAAGTACTATTTGTTATCTGGGTTAATAATTGTAATGCTATAAGCTTTATATGAAAAGAGCATCCCTCAAGGTATCTTCTCACAAAATTGCTCTATTCCCATCTGTGCATCAGTGATTGGTGTTTTCAGTTATAAATAATAGAACTCTTGTATAAACTTTGAGGGCTTGTGATGGGTTTCTTACAAATTTTATGAAAAAGTGGTTTATGAT